CGGTGAGACACACTTGGTGGCACGCTGTTGTGGGACACCCTTGTTGGCATACGTCTGCTGGGGGACACACTTGGTGGCACACTGCTGTGGGACACACTTGGTGGCACACTGGTGCTGGGGGACACCCTTGGTCACACACTGCTGCTGTGGGACACACTGGGTCACACACTGCTGTGGGACACACTTGGTCACACACTGCTGCTGGGGGACACAGGGTGTCTCACACTGGTGCTGGAGGACACACTGGGTCACACACTGCTGCTGTGGGACACACTGGGTCACACATTGGTGCTGTGAGACACACATCTGCTGCGGGACACACTTGGTGGCACACTGCTGGGGGACACAAGGCGCCTCACACTGCTGCTGGGGGACACACTTGGTGGCACACTGCTGGGGGACACAAGGCGCCTCACACTGCTGCTGGGGGACACATTGGGTCACACATTGGTGCTGTGAGACACACATCTGCTGCGGGACACACTTGGTGGCACTCTGCTGGGGGACACATCTGGTCACGCACTGCTGGGGGACACACTTGGTGGCACACTGCTGGGGGACACAAGGCGCCTCACACTGCTGCTGGGGGACACACTTGGTGGCACACTGCTGCGGGACACACTTTGTCACACACCTGGGGGCACATTGCTGGGGGACGTACGTGGTGGCACACTGCTGCGGGACATGAGAGGGCCCAAAGTGGTAGGAGACACAGCTGGTGGCACGCTGCTGGGGCACGCAGGTGGTGACACACCTGGCCACACGCTGCGGGGTGTAGGTGGTCACACACCGCTGCGGGACGCACTTGGTGGCACCCTGCTGCTGTGGGACGCCCTTGCCCTGGCATGGCTGCTGTGGCACGCACGTGGTCACGCACCTGGTCTGCTGGGGGGCACAGGGGGTGGCACACTGCTGGGGCACGCCCTTGGTGGCTCGTTGCTGCGGGATGCACTTGGTCACGCAGGGCTGCTGCGACTCGCCCTCGGGGGCACACTGCTGCTGTGGCACGCAGGTCGTCACGCACCAAGGGGGACACGGCTGCTGGAGGGTGCTCTGGGTCACGGGCTGCTGCCAGGGGGGCACGCGCTGGGTCGTGCACTGCTGCCGTGGCACGCACTGGGTCACACACTGCTGGTGGGAGAAGCTGGAGGAGGCGACCCGCTGGCAGGGGACGTGGTGGGTCACACGCTGTGGGATGCACGCCATGGAGTGCCAGGCAGGAGACACGTGGGGGTGTCTGCTGGCGTACGTCGGCGGGCACTTGATGGGGACGGGCGCCTGGTAGACCGGAGGGTGGCACTGGTGTAGGTAGCACGACATCTCGGCGAGGTTTTGGCAGGACTGGAAGGACACGTGAGGAGGCAAAGCCTTCAGGCAGGCGCCTGCTTGGAGTTCCCAGGGTGCCGCTGCTGGCGCTGCTGCCCACGCCGGGGCCGCGGGACCGGCTCGCTTCGCAGGGTGCCAAGGACACACCCCGCCCATGCCACGGTCTCACAACCACGTCAGCAGCAGCAGGCAAAGACCCAGCCCATCCTCTTTAACTCTGAAACACAGCACTAAGTCGAACAGTGAGGAAGTTCAGACACAGAGAACTCAATATCTCCCCAGCCTGCAGCTCCCTCCCCATTGCCCAGACCTCCACGGGGAGAACCACTCTTGGATGTCAGTAGAGGACTGGCTGATCTCAAAGCTTTCCAGTTTTCCTCTCCTGCTTTTGGTTGGTGACTGCCCTGACCTCTTGCTGCTGCAACAAGAAGAAAGACCAACCCCGAAGCAAGCTCTGAACCTCTGGCCACATCTGCCACAGTGGGAGAGGCAAAGAGCATCCAAGGCACCACCGTGGGCAGGCAGAGGTCCACAGCCCGGTCCAGCATCACAAAGTTCATGGTCGTCAGGGAACCAGAGCTAATTAAGAGGGTAGCAATACCACAACTGAACACAAACCTCCCTACAGCTCTCCCCAGTGCTGTGTTCCCTGATACACCAAAGCTGCTCTGACCCTCCCCAAATCCGAACAGCGACAACAGCACCCCAAAAACTGCTCACAACCCTTCCTCACACTTCTCAGGAGTGTCTCTGGGCCTCTGGAGCCCGGCTGTAGTCATCGAGACCACGCTCTCACTCCAACCCACCAGTTCAACCCAACCAGTTGTAAAAGCTTTTTCCATAGAACACTTTTTTACATATAAAAAAAGGCAGAAATAAATCTGCATTTGAGCAGCTACAGAGGCTCACATTTAGCTCGGACTTACCCAGCTCCCTGATGAGAACAGCTTCGTGATGTGACCAGTGAGCCTGAAGAGCAGGAGAGCTTTTATATAGCTACTAAACGTGCCTCGAAGGTGTGAGGTACCCACGACACAGCCCATTAGCTCCCGTGCGAAAGCTGCCCGGTGTGCAACCCTCCCGGTGACTCCCATCAACATACTCACCCTGAGGATGAGTCGTTGAGTGTCAGCTCCTCGTAGTAAGAGTAATTACCTTCTGTGAATCCTCTCTGGCATGGGAAGACTGAATGGTATTTGTGGAGGCAGCAGCAGCAGCCCCTGCCTCGGGGGTTCTGCAGGGGAGCAGTGCACCCAAAACGTGTGCAGCTTCCCTGGAAATGGGCCCCAGGAACGCGGCCGTCCCATCGCTCAGCCTTTTTTTCTGCACACACGTGGCTTTCAGAGCTGCACTGACTGAGTCCTTCTCTAATTTTAGTCCCTGGTTAGAGCTCCAGCTTCTCATCTGCCCTACGATGCCCTTCAGGTGGGGTCGGTTGTGTGTGGCTGGCCACAGGGCACTTGTTCCTTTGAGGACAACCAGGAGCTCCTAGTAAAGTTCAAAATCTGTTTCATCATCCGTCAAAAACTTCATTTTTAGCTCACATAGCTCTGGAGAGCACCTGGCTGCTGATGTCCTGATGCTCACGTGATCCCTGCACAGTCACCTGTTATCAGAGCAATGGGGATAAACCATCGAGTGATGAAAAGATGAGCGGAAAAGATGAGCTGCAGTCACATTGGCTTGCAGACCTTGCACAACAAGCTCAGCTGTCAAAGCTGTGACTGGCAGCACGACAGGCTGCAAAAAGCACCAGGAGCAGATAAACTTCCTCTGGGTCCTGCAGGTGACTTCCTCTGTGAGTCAAATTCTTATCGCACGCTGTGCCCAGATTAAAGAAACTAGTGAGAAAATGGGAGATTAATTTTTTATTAAAGTCATTGAAGCTCTAATCAATGTTTTCGTGTGTACCTTGTCTCATAAAATCTCCCCCAAAAGTGACAATTTCTTCCCGCTGACTACAGGGAGAGCTGACGGGGACCACCACAGAGGAGTGCTCAGCACCACCGACATCTAGTGCTGGCTGAGAGGAGACCCAGCCTATGAGGATCCATTCCTCAGTAGGTTGATTAAAAAATGTGGTTTCTTATGAACTAGAGAAATGGCTCTGCCCAGGTGGTTTTTGAAGCCAAGAAACAGGTCCCTAAATAATTTTGTGATGAAGCTGAATAATGACGTTTAGGAACTCTTGGACAACTATGCCCCACACTGGGCATGGCTTACAGAGGGTGAAATGCTCCCTTTACCATAGGCTGGAGAACCAGCAAGAAGGAATCCTGACCCTTGCTGGTCAGCACTGTCTTCATCTTTGCCTGAACCACAAGAAAAGTGGCTTTGTTGTGGCAACTCACCTGCAGAAATGGGTTCTTTTGATCCCAAACCATAACTTTGCCTTGCTCTTTAGCTCCAGAGCTCCCGAGTGTGATCCTCCCAGTCAGCCAGCGAGCACTTCTCATTTATGTTATTTTTATTCTAGGCTGGATGCAGGCACTGCCCCAACCTTCCAACCAACCCTCATTTCATGCTATGTTTGAACCTGCCTAACTTATGGAAAGCCCATCTGAACTTTAATTTTTTGATTAATTTTTTGATTGACTTGCCTTTCATGTCAATCCCCAGTAATGTCTGCAAGACTCTGTATCTAAACCCTCTTAAGAGGTACACTCCCAAACTACAGAACCAAAGAAAGAAAACCCCCAGAAACCAAATCAGGCTAAATTTGAATTTTGACAACAGAGCCACTTTGGAGACTTTCACTATGTAGCAATTTAATGTTTCACTTCCACGTGGCAATGCCTGTCAAAAATCTGTGCTTCTGTTGCCATCATCTGTGCATATCCTGGTAGAAACCACCTTCTCCCCACAGGCCAGCCCTGCCCTGCAGTGGCTGTCAGTTAAAAAAATCTCCTGGACTCTTTTAACGTGCCTGAGTCAAGCAGGAAAACAGCATGAGGTGAAGGTGGGAAAAGGAAGTTGAAACAGGGCTGTGGAACTGAGGACTAGGAAGCTGAAAAACATCCTGGAGGAGATGCCAGGTGAGGCACTAGGGAATCCAGCACCTTCCCTTTAATAAGTCAGGAATGCAAAGGAGCCGTGTCACAGTGCAGCAATTTTGGAGCATGAGCTGATGCACCAGGAATGCAAAGCTCCAAATATAGGAATTCCTGCTCCAAAAATAGACATTTGGCAGAAGAATGAGCTGGTCAGAAAAAAAAGATAGAAGAAACAAGGTAAATTGGCCAGGTGTGATCTGGGATATTGGGTGGAAACCTCGAGTGGTGTAAACTGAGCCTTGCTCCATTCATGGTAACAAAAAAATACACCAATAAACGAAGCAAAGAGCTGTCAAGCAGGAGGGAGCTACAGTGGGGAGTTGGTGAGCTCTAAAACCAGTACATGGTGAAGGACACGACGTGTGTTGGGCTACAACAGCAAAGCCAAGGAGGAGAGTCTTCCCCTGAAGAAACAAATCTGCCTTGTGGAAGTATCTGCATGAGGCTGGGGTGGCCATTCCCTCCAGCCTCACCAAGACACGGTTATAACCTCCAATCTCACCCAGACATGGCCATGAGGTGGTGGAGGTCCCATCCCTGCAGGCGTTCAAGGTCAGGTTTGATGGGCCCTTGAGCAACCTGACCTAGCTAGAGATGTCCCCACGTATTACTGGGGTTGGACTAGATGGCCTTCAGAGGTCCCTTCCAACCCAATACATTCTATGACTCTCTGGTCGTGTCCTCCAGACTCTCAGGACGTGGACATGGACACTTTCTCCAAGCTGTACAAACCACTAGAGCGCAGCATTCGCACACGCAACCGCCTCCCGTGACAGCCTTGCAGAACCAGCTGCTGGCAGCTGGGAAACTGCCTTCAGATGCCCTCTCTCTCCAGGAAAACAGCTCAAACCATCAGCCCGTGAGCTAGACCCAGGCCAGCACCTTTGTGCCACAAGAACCTAATGTCTGGATGCTCCTTGTTGCACCAAGGCCCTGGCATGAAGTTGAATCTGAGCTGCCAGTGCTCCCTGCAGCCCACCCACAGCCTCCTACTCCCACTGCTGTACAAGCCAGAGTCTCCTTCCAGCTGCCCACATCTACACGTGCTTCTGGGCACGGAGGACACACACCCTGAAGCAGTAGCTGGGCTACAAACCGTGTCCTTCAGAGGAGAGTGGATCTGTTCAACCCATCGCCGCAGGGCAGGGAGGTGTCTGCAGGGAGGGGAGGGTGAAGAGCACACGAAACATGGGAGAATAAGCCAAGATCTCACATTTAGAGTCTCAGACTTGTAATTAGAAAGCAGCGTAGAGGCTGCAGATAATAAAACTTAACATATTATTAGCCCAGCAAGCAGATTTGCTGTCTCACTGTTTCAATGATCTAACAGCACTGAAGGCAAAATACTAACCCCATCGTGCACTGGAATGAAATGCCCCTTGCTTGGTCTCCTTCTTGCTTCATTTTATAAGTGTTTTATTACTTAATGAACTCTTGCTGTTCTGCAATTAGTAGCCCCGCAGACCTCTTTGTTCTGGTTGCTGCCAGGCTCAGGGGAAGGTTGTCTCAGGAGAAAATCTGACTACACGATTGTAACAGCCCTGGTGACTTCTGAAATGCTTCAGCTGAGCTCTGGAGCTCCGACACAACTTTCACCCATATCCATGAGCTCCATCCATTAGCTGGGCTCCCACTGGGAGAGAAACCTGGGCAACTGTTTGAACTCAAAGGTTGACCACAGTCACTGCTGTCTCCTCTGCAGTGGCTCCAGATGCCAACTCGAAGGCACAAAGGCTTCAGAAGCACAACTCTGCTCTGGATGGAGGAGCAGCACGTGGGCACTCAGGAGCTGAAGCTGTGGCATATATCTAGTGGAACTTCTATCACACCATCAATGAGAACCTGAAGTCGCCATGGCACGCCCCAGATTTTGCTCCTCTGCCACCACTTTCCATATGCAGGAGCTACTTTGGCTTGGGAGGCCCTTGACTTGTCTTCTGG